GCTCGATAACTTTTTCGTTTTTTTTTTTTTTTATTTTTTATTTTTATTTATTTTCCTTTTTTCGCGTCGCCACAAAGTTTTCATCGAACAATTCACACCGATCGCCTAATTATTCAATTAACTTCGAACGCGCGATTACAATCGGCGAGACAATCCCGATTGTCGACCATTTTGAGGCTTTTCCGCGTTTTTCCTGCCTCGTATTTTTCTGGCTATTAGTGGCGTGCTAATTAGTCGATACACACGAAATATCCGTTACAATCATGCGAGAACGCAAACAGACAACGCGCCGCAAGATACACAGAATTGTTGCCAACATGGAACATCAATCGGCACGATTTTTCACGTGTAAAAATTTTCCCACCCTTGTTTGCTCTTCCTTCGACTTTCAATTCTTCATCAAATTCTCTGCTTCTTCTCGACGAAGAAATGTAGCATCGAATCTGTACGAGATTCGTCTTCGTTTATTTCCGTTTATCGATCAATTATAATAAATTATGATCTCCTTTCATCGATCAATTTCGTAATTCGGTTTTAGTGGTTGTTTAATCAGAATATTTCTGCTAAAATATATCAATGAAATATATGATCTCGATCGATATTGCTTAATTGCAATCAAAAAACGAATGATTAGATTCTCCAAGATTCTTTTTTTATATATTTATTTATTTATATCAAGATATGCTCAAAAGAAATTTTGTATACAACGTTAGAAACGCTTTCAATCAAAATCGATTTCAATACTTTTTTCGCGATTTGGCGATTATCTTTATTAAACGCATTAAAAAATCTCAATATTTATCAATCTCACAGAACAGACATTACAGGCAACAAATTTCTACGCTAAAAATTCAATTATTAACGCCTTTTAAATAACTTTTAAATGTAATATATTATCAGAAAAAAAGAACTCCAAAATTAATTCGTAAAAATTATATTGCACTCTTGCTAAGAGATTCATCTTGGAAAATTCGCCATTGTATCTCTGGGATAAAAATTCTACCACAAAAATATCTGCAAAATCTAACGCAGCCTCGAATAATCCAACAACAATCGAGAGAACGCGTTTCCTTTCTCATTGATGGCGACCGATTTTCGCGAGTTTTCCAACGATATCCTGGTCGAGTTTCGGCTCGCGTGATTGCAGCTACTGCGTCCGAGGAGGAAAGGTTCGAAGGATTTCCCGGGATACAGGGCGGGCCACGGCATCGATCTCTTCAACAGCCAGACGGACACCGGTTCCAATTACCGCCGCTTCGAATTGGCTGTGTTTCTCCGGCCAACTAGAGGAATCTGTTGGCGATCAAGGCTGAGGAGTTCAACCCGCGTTCATCCCCTCCCACGACTTGCCACGATTGATATTCCTCCTCTCTCCTCCTTATCGAGGGATCTTGCGAAGAATCTTCGGAGTTTGTTTGGCGGAAGGGTTTTTCTCGACACTCGTAACGATCATTTTAATTGGACGATGGATGCCGCGCGACGCTTGGAGAACCAATTAAGGGGAAAAATTATGCGGGGAGAGGCTGTGGAGAGAATCAAACGTTAATTGGACTTGGAAGGAATTATTAGGAATACCTCTGCCGATCGATATTGTTTGGTGAACTTGATGGATGCTTTATGAGAATTCTCTTGACACGCGGGAAGAGAAGAGGAAAGTTTTAAGCAATATCGAATAAGCGTGTGAAATAAATAGGCAAAAATGATTGTTTCTCAACGAATTGTTTCTTGCTTTTAAGAACATCCTTTAAGGCAACGACTAATGGAAAAAACTATTTTGCATCGATATATTTAAGGCGTGGAACGACGTAAAGAAGACGACTTTATTTAGGCAGATCGATCGGTGTCGTCGATTCGACACCGGTATGCCACTCGTAACGTGCTCCCTCATAACGTGAGCCACCCGTTCCAAAACTGCGGGAATATCAATGGAGGCAATCCACCGTGGTTGGATAGAGAGAGCCGCGTCTCCGCAACATCCTCCGTCTCCAACCATCCCGAATGAATTTATACAGCGACCTTATCTCGGCAGCGGAATTTTCAATGGGACCTGTACTCTTATTGGCGTTGATATATTCGGGAAACTTTTATTCCGGGTCGTAAATTATCGTAATATTGCTTCCAGAGTTCTGCTTCGAGTCAGATTTTTCTTCGGGAATCGCGTTTAAGAGATCGATTTATCAATAACGGAACCTCCCCCTCATCGTTATTCTCGAAATTAATTCAAGATAATTCGATATTTATCGAGAAATAATTCGAGAATTCTTTTCGTTATTTGGTTTATGAGGTTTTTCGTTGATTTATGGAATATTCGAATATTTGGCATTCAGAAAATTAATAAGTTCCAAGTCAATTTTCCACGAAAAGAATCGCTTTTTTGAAAGCTATTTCTTCAAATCACTCAAAATCATTCTTAAAAATTAGAATAATTAGAAACGTTCAAGATATTATATGTTAATTCTGATGTTAGTATAATCATCTCGATTATCGTATTCAGAAATGACGAAATCATGAGAATTCTAAAAAAATATAAAAAATATAAATAATAAAAAGAAAAGAATTTGGTAAAAATCTAAATTTAATACTTTCGTTTATTTCAAAGCGAATAATCGAGGCGAATAATCCCTTTCTTAATCCCACGATCTTTTCAGTTTCGAGTGGTTTCTTTGCGATCTCTGGTTTCATGGGAGTTCCTTTAACAACAGTTTCTAAATGAGAGGAATCAAAGCTAGTTCACTAAACAGACTTAGTAGGAAATGATTTTCCTACGTATGATTTTGCTATCGTATTTTAACCACATCACGTGTCTCGATCTCGATCTTGTTGTATCTTGGCGTTTTTCTGCCTCGACGAAGAAATATCGATAGCGAAAGTGAGAAGTTTTTACGGGTCGACGACTTTTCGCGAAATTACTCGACCGTTTAAAATTTCTCACTCGTTTTGCTCGAATTTTCTTCTTTACTTTCTTTGGGAAAGTCGATCGATTCGATAAGTTGTTTATCGCCTCGTATTCCTTTCATTGCTATAATATTCCGCACAATTCTTTAAATCCTTCAGCCGAAATGCTCGATATTTTGTTCGAGTTTTATTCAAGAAATTGACTTCTATAAATTTTTATCGCTTCATTGAACGAGTCGAATCTCTACATTTGTGACGAAAGCCACGATATTTGAGAGTTTAAACTCAAAAAGTTTAACGAACATGTTAAAACTAATTTCAATTTCAATTCAATAGAAAATTCATTATATATTCAACACATAGAGATACTATATTTAACGCAGAATAATTACAAGATGCAATTTGATTTACACAAAATAAATTAGACCACGTGTGTTCATGCAAAATCAAATTGTTGTGATATAATTAAATTAAAAATCGATAATATCTCGTATTCAAGTGGGGTTCATCCAATTTTCAAGGAAACCGGATTCTACCGCTAAAACAGTGTGGAAGAATTCTCTTTACGCCACTTAAAGGTGGGTCGAAGGGTCGGGGAGAGAGGGTGGTGTAGCACCCATTGTAACGAAGATTTCGAGGGTGGCGATTAAAGGGGGCGGTTAGGAAGGAAGGAAGGAAGGAACAGAAGGAAAGGAAAGATGTCGGCCGGGTCGTTTGTCTTAATAAAGTGCGTCGAAGGCATGCTCTTCGCTACGGCTGACTTATGGCCAGTCATCCGAGTAGGCTGCACCCCTCTTAAGACCCGTTTCAGTGGTTTTTCGCAGGGAGGAGAGGCCAGTGTTCCGACGATATTCAAGGAGGGTTGCTCGAGTCCCGGGGTCGTTAACCCTGCCTACCGACTCCATCAATCGAACGAGGGTGGCTGGTTAACGATGCCAAACATTCGTCATCGGGTGGATCCTTCCTACTACCTCGTTTCATCCTTCTTTCAACTCCTCCACCTTGGTCCCTTGGCTGGAATGGTTTTCTCTTCGATGGATAACCTCCACGGGTAAAACGGTCCAACGGGTTGGATATCCATCGCCGATTGAAACGGGCATTAAATCAGCAATGAACGGAAAAAAAGAAAAATTCTTCGATTTAAATTTCGTATTTTCTTAATATTACTTTTATTTTATTCGTTGGACGTGTCAATAAATATATATAGAGATTGTAGGTATTCGATTTAATATTTTTAATTTTATAAAAAGAATTAGAGATAATCCTAATGTGTTTATTATATTCATACGATTAATCAAACGGTTATTAATCATCAATATCATTTTAATAAAGAAAAGATAAAAGATCGTTTACACGGGAGAAGAAAATTTCCTTATCTCACGGCGATTATATTTTATTCATCCTCCTCTCCTAATCTCGCTTCTTTCGACGGGCCGCCACTCGAGTCTCATAAATTCCAGCATCGTACCGCAAAACCAAACAGCCGTTTATTTGCATAAATAAACAATTATTCTCGACGATTATTTTTAAGTGGTGGGATAAATATCGGCCGATAAATATTCAAGATTCTCCATTAAAAGTCCTTCCTTTTTCCTCCTTTTTGCCACTCCCAATCCCAATGATTTATCATTTGCCTTCCCGACAACCTCGACTTCCGGATCGACCGTGCAAACAATTCTTTTATCTCTCCCCGTCTAAATTCTTTTACCAACGGGACGTGGTCGCGCGAGAATTTGAATCACAAACTCCCCTCCCCGCGTTAACAGAGAGAGCCTAAGGGGGTTAAGTTTAACGCAACATATGAGCATAAGTTTGTCACTCGGCTAAAGCTAGCACTCTAAACTAGCTATAAACACACCCCCTCTACTCTTCTCTCGGTGAACTTCCAACGCTACGTTTCTCCATTCTCCCTTAAGAAGCGACACGTCGTCGTGCGGGTACATAAACCTCCGAAATCACCGGTTGGCCACCCTCCACCATTTGTCCGTATTCCCAGGATCTTTAACTTCCAACCATAACACCAGTATTCACTTATTCGTGAGAACTCGTGCAAATCCCCTTAAGGATAATTTTGTCAAACCATATATATTTTTTTTCTTTCGCAGAGACGTCCGTGGTGTTGCCATCCGCCTCCTCCGATCTCGATAAGATACAGCAACCGGTCAAGATCGTCCTCTCGAGCACTTGTCATCATGCCTACAATGCTTGCAAGTGAGCGATGATTTATTTGTCATTTTATCTAATTGTAATGTAATCTATCCAGTGAGAGCCAGAAAGTGAGTATAAAGTTTTGGAAAAATTATATTTATTTAATATACGTGTAGATATGTTATGTACAATCTCAAATTTTGATATCATTATTAAATTTGTAATTAAACGTAAACAACATGAATTCTTTAAATTCATTGGACTCGTATTGCTTATCATTTATTTGTTAATATAGCGTCTATATAGAAATGATTTAATTATAGTATAATTTATTCAGTGAGAGTCAGAAATGAATATAAATAGATGTAGATATATTTTATATAATTTCATATTTTGATTTTTCCATTATTAAATTTGTAATTAAACATAAACAACATGAATTCTTTAAATTCATTAGACTCGTATTGCTTATCATTTATTTGTTAATATACTGTCTGTATAGAAATGATTTAATTATATAGTATAATCTATCCAGCCAGAATCAGAAATGAGTATAAATAGATGTAGATATATTTTATATAATCTCAAATTTTGATATCATTATTAAATTTAATGTTGAACACAAACAACATGAATTCTTTATATTCATTGGACTCATATTATTTATCATTTATTTGTTAATATACTGTCTATATAGAAATGATTTAATTATAATATAATCTATTCAGTCAGAATCAGAAATGAATATAAATAGATGTAAATATATTGTATATAATCTCTTATATTAAATTTTGATACTTTTATTAAATTTGTAATGTTGAACACAAACAACATGAATTCTTTAAATTCATTGGACTCGAATGGTATTTCGTATTCGGATTAATTTCCAATGATTGATTTCGAAATCGCCAAAGTTTCCGATGATTAATGCATAACCTTCCCCTAACCACCTTCTTCTCTCGTTCCAGAAACGATCCAGAGTGCAAGGTGCTTCTCGAGCCGGTGTTGAACCATTGCGACTCGACGAGTTGCGCGAAGAACGAGTGCATGGAAGCGTTGCAAAACTTCTACAAATCCGCCAACTATAAACACTCCGTCGAGATCGCGTTCTGCCTGTGCAGGTGAGACATAAACAGATAAAAAATATAAAAAAAAAATTCGCAATCTTTCCCTATCCGATCGCTCGATTGTCATCGAGACAACGAAATAAAATAAAAAAAAAATTCTATAAATCCACGACACACATAGTGGAAAATCGTTTTTTCGCTCGCACCAGGCTTTTCTCTCATCCAAGAGAGAATTTTTGCAACGTATTCTCGAATCGATGATTCGAGAGTCGAGATTTTTATTGTCGAATGAAATACGGGGAGGGAGAGCAAGAAATTTCGTTCCAAATACGATAATATAATATCATCGCGAATTGATCGGTGAAAACAATTAATGGTAATATCAGACGCCATGAATTCCGCCGATATAATTAATTTCGCGCGTGACTAACGAAAGGAGATCGAACGATCGCCTTCGTTAAATACCAATCAAAAGATACTTCCTGGTCACTCGAGCCGATTCCAACTTAACTTAAACGATGAAACGATTTCTCATCGTACCCTCGTCCTTAAACCGAGAGAAATCGGGATTCCCCACGATAAAGCGGAATACGTGGAGTTTCAAACGATTATTCGAACACGGGGGAAGAGGAAGGGATGGAAGGTCTCTCTGGAAACACGAGAGTTCGGGATACGACTCAATTAAAGCCGCTCGTCTTTGTACGTTTCCCGTAATCCTGAGTAAACTCGCGGCAAAAGTGATAGGGAAAAGACAAAGGGGTGAGACAGAGAGAGAGAGAGGGAGAGGGAGGGAGGGAGAGCGCGCACCTCTCTCACAAAGAACCGTCGTTGCGCCGGAAATACTCCGAGTTCTGCATCTCTAATCCCTTCGCGCGAGCCAAGCAACCAGCCGAGACTTCTTTTTCGAAGGAAGCTCCTTTAACTTTTAAGTGGCTTTTGCCCGCGAAACAATGCAGAAACTTTCTATCCGTCTTTCACATTTCCTCGGCCATCCCCCCTTCCACCCCTCATCTTCTTCTCCGCCAACTTTTTCCTCGTACGACTCTCTCTCTCTTTCTCCTCTCTTCGTGCTCATTGTCCCGAGAAATCCCGTTCCTCTTCCTTTGTCCCGCCGCCCCGCCACGGGATATCGGTATCATCTCGGAATTTATTAATATTGGATGAGTCCTGTTGCAGCCGGCCCTTGCCCCCGCGCCTTTGACAAATTGGAAACTCGTATTCTCAGGTCGGGTTCAATGACTGTTGGCTTTTAACGACTGTTTAAGACGCGATCATTCATTCAGCAGTGTGGGGAACGTTTACTTCTCGAGCCGCCCTCGTGTAAAATTCACGGGGTTTTTTTGAACGTAAAGGGGGAAGATTTCGTTTGATTCGAGTTTCGACTAATTAAATGGATAGGCTGGAATTAGTTGGAAAAACGCTTCTTTATTACGTTCGATAAAGGGATGTCGATGGAAAGATGACTCGAGCTATCTCGTTAAAATTCGCTCGAATCCTCGAGTCGAAGGAAATTTTTTTGTCTCCGTTAACGAATCGAATCCCTTTCTTTTTATTCTCACGATCGAGAATCGAGATCCAAGAGATTGCGTGGGGTAAAAAATAATAACAATGGATTTTTCGTTCTTTTGTAGGAAAACGGATGGAAAGAAGGACGAGTGTATAATCGCGCAGGAAAAAATGCATCCTGCCTGCGCGCAGCGAGTGGAGGGCGCGGAAATGCCGACGTGTCACAGTTTGGCGGAAGCTTGCAAGGAGCACGAAGCATGCAAGTATGTTAGGAATGTAGAGACGTTCTAATTAATCATTCCAACAGTTTAAAGCCAAGATGGTCTCGAAAAAATGGCCAAGATCGGATCGAAAACTTGAAAAGTTTTCTCTTTTTACTTGCGATTCGAAACCCTTCCAAGAGAAACTTTTGAAAAGAAAAAAAATAAGTATTCTGAGTTTCAAGAGTTCCAACTTTTACAAATCCAAAAAATTAAATTTTAATCCATTCCTGTTAAAAATCTATTTAACTTGAATTGTAAAACGAATCTCTTTACTCTCTCGATGAATTAATGATAATTTCGTGGTTCGAAAGGGGAAAAGCGATTTTACTCGATCGCTTATCGCGCGCGACAACTACGACTA